CGGCCCCGCCCCCGCGAGCTCACCAGAGGCAAGTCCATGAGCACCTGCATTCCATCACCTGGGCCCATGTGGGCCACGTGGTTGAAGTTGGTTGGGTTGGATATCATCTTGGATCTCAATTCTGGGTCTCTAAGCATCTCTCTGAGGGAAAGCAGAGTATTGTCGAGACCCACAGATAGTCACGATCCTCTTGGCTCGCCTCCCCCCCGCAGCGAGGCCGGGCTGGCCAGGGAGGGCGAGCTCACCGCCGCTGCTGCAACCTCTCCTCCTCCGGCACCTTGAAGACGAAGCGCCTCTTGCTCCTGGTCCGAAGCATCTGCTTCTTGCTGTTATCACAGGTGTCGGGCACGTTGAGGGCTGTTCCTGCGGGAATGCGGAGCGACCCCTGTGGGCCCACGTGGCCCTCGAGCTGGCGACGCGCAGGCCCGCCTCCCCCCCTCCGTTCACTTCCACGCGCCGCCAGGCTCACCCGCGAACTTGCTCCTGAAGTAGATCAAGCGGGGAGGCTCGCAGTTGAGGAGGTTGAGGGTGCCGTCGGAGCTGAGCGGTCTTATCTGTGTCGGAGAGCAGACAGGGCGGCTAGCGGGGGGCCGGGGACGGGGCGGGAGGGGGCTGCCCCGCACCGGCCCGGGGGGCCTTACCCTCCGCAGGCCGATGGTCTGAACCCACTCCATGGTGCGCACGTCAAACACGTCCACGCCGTACTCGCTGTACACCGTGACGTGAGAGGGGCTGCAACCTGGCGTAGATGGAGCAAGCAAGGTGAGCGACCCACGTGGCTGGCCCACACCTGGCGCCTTCCACCCTGGACGGCAGCGGCCAGGCCCCAACACCTGGGACTTTAGAAGGTGCCAACGGGGGACACGCCGCCCTCAGCTTAGGGGTTACAACCGGTTCAAAGGGCGGATACTTTCACATTCCCACTCCAGAAAGAACCTTCGCTTCAAAGTTCACACCAACACCGCACGTTTAACTGCTTTACCATCCCCGTAGCTGAACATTTTAAATACCACAGTACAGATGCTCAAGAGGGTTTGTTTAAAAAGCTAGCTTTTTCATTTAGCCTCCTTACACAACCACTGCAAAAACAACTGCTTCAGGCTCAACGCATGTGAAATTGAGGCAGGGGCCGAGCATTCTGTTTTGAGGCAAATTCCTTTAAGAGATGCCAAAAAGTCAGGTTTCTGAGTCAATATTTAACATCTCCAAACAAAACTGCTGCTTAGCTCTGGGGCAACAATCCTGCCCGTCTACACCTCCAGCTAACCCACCGGCTCGCTCGCTCGCTCGCTGAGACTGGTCCTTCCGGGTGTTTGCAGGCAGCCCTCTGGTGGGCTGGTCCAAACACCTGGGACCAGCTTCCTGGGAGGAGCCCCGCGGCAGGGGGGCCATTCCCCCTCACCCTGAGTGATGGCATACTGCCGGGGGGGGGGGCACGACACGGGAATGCTCCAAGGACCGCCGGCCCATCTGGCATTTGAGGTTTAAGGGGACAGTCCCCCCTTCAGAACTGCAGTAAGACTATCTGAACGGGGAAGGAGAGGGCCTGCCGGGGGGTGGGGGTGGGGGCGGGTGCGCGGTGCGCTGTCGTGTCCCCAGCGCCACCCTGCAGGAGCGCAGAGCCAGGCCGACAGCACAGCTCAGCCTCTGCTCCGGTTCTCCTGCCTTCCAGGCTTGACTTAACTCCCTCGCGTCACTAACTGAAGATGGACCTTTGAAAGGCTTCTCTTGATGTGTTGCTGTCAAGTTCCCAATGGGCTGTGTGGTCAGCCCTTCTCTTTTGAATATAAACAGGAAAATGAAACAGGCTTTAGGAAGGAGCCAAGAGGCTGGAACTGGCCAGCAGCCTGTCACAGAAGTGACAAGCAGAAAAACTTTATGAAGTAATTTTCAGAGGACCGTTCTGCACACGGAGGCCCCTGGGGCAGCTCCTCTTACTTGGGAACATGTGGGGCTTCCTTTGCAAGGAGCCAAGGAGTGATATGTGTGACTTGCTGATAAAGTGATAAACTGAGGCATCCAGTCTAAAGAAAACTGTAAATTAAAACATCAACACCAGTGGCGAGAGAACGGGCTGGGGAGCCTGACAGATCGGCGTTTGAGCCGGGCTCCGCCGTGTGCCCCACGCAATGCCCTCTGTCCTCCTTGGCCAGGTGGGACTGACTGCGCCTCCCTACTGGGGACAGGTGAGAATGAACACACGCGAATGCTCAGCACGGGAGTGGAACGAGGAGGCAACAGTTTTAGTTCTCCAGCCTGAATGTCAGTGACTTATTTTTCGCCAGCTCTAAAACGGATCTGGTGTCTGTACTGTGCACAAAGGGGAAGCGAGAACCGGACAGGGCCAACACGGGAGCTTAAGGTGTGCATGCCAGTCACAAAGCCAGGATGCCAAAAACATCACGCTCAGTGACCTTTCCACAATAAACTTTTCAAAACTTAGGGTTCAGGAGGAAAAGACCCTGACAGGCAGGGTTGCCACGTGGCTCTGTGGCAACTCCTGTCCAGGCTGCCCTTGAGGACAACGGGGAGCAGCAGGGAAGGGACCCAGCCTGCCACCACCTGCCTGTCTGTCTGCTGCCCTGGCTGAGGGCTGACCAAGTCAAGGAACATGCAGAGGCCCGGAAAGCCAAAGGCCAGTGGATCCTCTCAAGGGCCCGGTGTCCTGGTTCCAACGCACTTGGCGTGGCCAGCAACGAGGCACACAAAAGGTCGTCCTTTTACGTAATTAAGGAAAAATATGACCCCCACCTCCCACCCCGTTCCCACCCCCCATCCGCTCAACATCAGCATGTACCCTGTGGCCCGTCTCATCAACCCCTGCTCTTTGTCTGACCTGCTGCTTCACCGACTCGGGATACACCGAGCAGGTGATCTGAGGCGTAGAGTCTGCTAAGAGTGACCAGACAAGAGTGGGAAGTGCCCCCCCTGGAGCCAACTCGGGGCCTTGGCTCACCAAGCTCAGGCCTTAGAGACTCCTGTCCGGGGACCCCGTTCCACAGAAAGCCACTGAAACTAGACAAACAAAGGGACGCAGCTCCCAGCATTTCCAGGGACACATCTGTCCCAGCAGGAACTTTACCCCCGCACACTGGAGCTGAATTTTTTTCTGGCTACCAAAACCTTTTAGAGCTTGTTTTTATTACCGTGTGAGTTTATAAATCAGGGGCCCCTGCAAAACCCGGGTGCCCCAGGAGAGAAAGGCACCGCGGGCAGGAGGCTGGCGCTAGAGGGGACCCCCCTTCCCCCCCCTCCCCACTGGTCCGAGATGCGCTGTCAGGACTGCACCTTCTCTTGAAGAAATGCACGGGGCCCGCTTCTCTGGCGCCTAACTGCTCGGCTAAGGGAACTGAGAGACAAACCAAAGCAAACTAGAACGCATGCTGACTGTCGAGGTGAAGAGCAGCAACAGGGATATGGCAACAGAAAAACATATACATACTACAGGCAACAGGCGCCGCAGGCCACATGAGCTCCTGCATGCGTGACCTCCGACCTTGTGGGTCCACGTACAGTCCCATGTGGCTGAAGCAAAGCAGGTACTCCTCGCTTTTGAGCTCCACAGCACAAAGGGCATCAAAAGACTGCTGTGAGAGGAACGTAAGCGAGGGGTCATTGGGATTTACCAGGGTTAGAGCCTGCCCGTCCCCCTGGGGGCTCAGCAGAGAGAACCCCGAAGGGTAGCCAACACAGAGCTTGTCCTTGAGCGCGGCCATCCACTGCACAGTGCCGGGGGCCACAATTTCATTGACCTTCCTGTGGAAAGGCCTAGTTCTCTGGACCTCATAGCAAAGGACCAGCCGTTTCACAGCTGCGAACAGGAAGGTGGAGGAGCTCTTGTTCAGTGTTGCGGTCGCTATGAGCTGGCAGCCTTTTGTTTCTGGAAGCTTGATGTCGACGTTGCTTTCTGCCCCATCGAAGGCAGACCACGGACAGAGATGGACATGGTGGTTCCGGCCGCAGAGGAGGACGGCCACTTTGTCTTTGGGAGCAAGCTCGATCTGGTAGACTTTCTTGTAGTCAGCAACTCGGACGATCACTGCGGGAACAGAAATGCAGTGTCTCACGGTGGCTCCCGGGCACCTGCCCAAGGGCGCCAGGAACCTCCCCATCGGCTCCCTTCCCTGCCAGCCAGCTCTAGAACATGCTCTAGAATGTGCCTCCACCCCTGCCAACGTCACTGTCCTGCAGATGCCAGGGCAGCGCCCTCCTTCAGAAGCCCCCAGGGGCCGCCATTCTCACACTCCTCCCTCTGCCTCCATGGCACTAGCCACCCCCCCACCCAGCTGGGAGATGCTGAGCGTGCTGTGGCCTCGGGGGGTGGATCTGGACCTCCTTCCAGTTCATCCCTGAAGACGAGAACCCTCGGGTTGCATGTGGGGAACAAAGGCCCATCTCCAACCTCACTGGACCCTCAGATTAACTCTCTGAAAGCACCCACCCCCAAATTAACCCAATCTCCCCAATACCCTAATTGGTTAGGATCTGCACTAAGGGCTCTCTGAGCAGAGCCCTTGGTCTGGAACCTGAGGGACCAACAGCCCTGGGTGTGGGCCAGCAGCGGTCACCCCTGGTGATATGCGTTCACACCGGGCTCGGCAGGAAGGGAACGCTGTCCACCGTGGAGCAGCTCCTTATTTCTGGGGGATGTGGCCAGACCCTGGCCCAGGGCCCAGGCCAGTTCTAGTCTCCTTGGAATTCTCTCCTGAGACACAGGGTGGTGAAGAGGGGAGACATGGGATACTTTGCATTTCCTTGCCGGGAAGAAGGAAATGTCAAACTTTGAAGCGGAGAAAGGAAGTTTCAGGAAGGCCTCAGCACGTGCAGGAATTCAGTGAACGATCCTCCTTCTTGCCCCCACTCCCTCCCCAATCCTCTCCTTGACGAGCCCAGTGAGCACAGTAAGCTGCTCACCCGCCCCCCCAGGGGCTGCTGGTTGGTCTGGGTGCCCTGCTGCGCCCGGGGTAGGCCCTGCCCACCGCTGAGGCACCAGTGGGCACTCTGCCCGCATCTGCCGAACAGCTGTCCGTCTGTTGCAAACGACGTTTCTCAGCTGTTTGCCTTTCCCTGTGTTTCCGTAATTCACACATCCCTGAACGCGTCTCAGCTCGCGAGGGTTCCTGCCACTGCCCCTGCACCTGGCTGTGCGAGCCCGGGAGGACGGGCGGCAGCCCCTGTGCACTCACCGTCGCGGGTCACCTCTATGACGTAGAGCCCTTCTTCTAGGCCGACCACGATCCTGTCCCCATCTGTCAAGGCGGGAGGGGTAAGAACACACGAACGTCAGGCCTACTGACGCACACCATTCGCCTCTCGAAGCAGACGCAGGAACCCCGCTCCAACGGACAACACGGCCGTGGCCGCCGCCCGCTGGAGGGCCGATCGGGCACCGCACCCGCTGACACGCTCTGCTGCTCCCTGTGTCTCAAGAGCGCGGCCCCACGCGGCACCTGGCACGCACCCACGACGGCGGCGCTCAGGACGGCCTTGATGAGAGGCAGCGTGCTGTCGTAGGCCTCCTGCGGGACATGCACCACCTGGTTCCTCAAGCGGTTCTTGTGGAGGATCGACTGCAGTCCTTCTAGAATCCCAACCCACTTCCTCTTTTCGTTCTCATTTTCTGTCAGAATGAGCAGTGAGCTGGTCTTAGAAGGTGTCCCTAAGAGAGAGGCTGTCACCTTCGTGACAGACAAAGAGAAGAGCCATAAGACAACCAAAGCACAGCACACAGACGCCCACAGCCTGGCCTGGACGCCACCTCGCGCTGGAGGGCGTGCTGCCCAGCACTCTGGCTCAGGGCGACTGCTGAGTCCCGATTCTGGGGTGCCCACAGACGCTGTGAGGGGCTCTGCTGCTGTAAACGGGCGGGGGCACTGTTATAGACTGTTATATATAAAGGGCCCTGCATCCCTTCCTTGTCAGATTTTGCTCTTGCCAACACTGTGATGGAGTTACCCCATTTTAAAACTACCTCTTGAATGACCTCACTATAATTAACAACAGAACAGGAAAAACAGAATCTCCCACACAAACACTCTGCCCACACGTGCTTCCCTGTGAGCGTCCCCTGAGCCCGCAGCAGGAGCCTGGATGGCGTTGGCTGGTACAGAATGGTCAGCTTTTAAGCACCCAAGGATGGCAATTTTCTGTATCATACTTGTGAGGCAGTCTCTGAACAGATAGGTAAGTTCAGGAAAGAGGATTCTTGGACTTCATTTTGTGGTCAGTGAAAATCCTACTGTGTTTATAAAAATTCCCAATGGAGGGGTTGGGGGTGATTCTTTCCCTAATCCACAATCACTCAGAGGCTTCCTAATGCCACACCATCTAACATGAACCCAGTGGGGGGACCCTCCATCTCGGCCAACAAAAATGCTGCTGGGAAACGTCTACTGATTCCTTCTGTTTTGCTCCAGTTGAGGACGAGTAAGTCCCGGGGAGGGGAACTGCGGGGACACATCCCATCCATAAAGGACCACGGGGCGGCTCCCAGCATCAGGCACACTGTGACTGCACATACAGACCAGGTGCGGTGCAGGACAGAAGGCAGTACTGGTGACGTGGGGAAGGCGGGGCCCTGGGGAGGAGGGACCCCAACATGAGGGACGGCATCTGGAGCAAGACAGGAGGTGGAGGAACAGGAGTTCTGGGTCTGCTGGCCCCTTACTATGGCACAGTGAAATGCTCCAAAGAATTGTTCCATTTTAACCACGAGCTTTCCTTTTTAGGATTAACAAAACACCTCCAAGGAACAGAGAAAAGCATACCCTGAATATACACGGAATATCTCGGCGGGAAGCATGTATGACGTCTGAGGCCAGGACTGAGCTCACCGAGAACTCCTCATCTCTGGTAAGAAACAGAACACTTGGAACGTCAGAAAGAATGTGCACATGGGCCTGTCCCCCGCCCCCCAGTGCTACAAATCTCCTGAGAAAGGATACTTCCACGGCTCTACTTTCTAGAACATACGGTTGGCCCCTTGCCTCCAGCTGTGTAAGAAAGCTCTTATGCTGACAAAGCCCCCAGACTCGAGAACCCTGCAGGTGTTTCAGTGATGAGGGACGTGTGAGAATAAAAGCCCTTTCCCTGAGCCACATGGTTCTAGTCTGTGCCAGACGCTTCCAGCCACATACGCATCGCTGATTTGGCCCATACTTGGCTACAGTCAAGTGGCCGCCTGGTGATGGCTTCTAAAGAACGGGACGCAACCTGCGGAAACAGCCGTGCAAGCCCCACGTCCAACACTCTGAATCCCGGGCTCCACCTGCCTGTGGGCTCTTGGCCACCAGGCCGGGGCGCACCTGCGCCCAGTGACGGACGAGCAGGATCGCCTGGGGATGTGGAAGTGGGAGCCGCTGTGGAGGTGACTCAGCTACACGTCTGTCCCTGGAGCTGTCGTCGGGGGCACCACAGCCCGTGGCCCCCCAAGCACCAGTGCGGAGATTGAGGCGCCAGGCCCTCGCCCAGGTCAGGGGCAGACGGGACACCAGGCCCTGTGCTGAGCGTGCGCCTTCTAGGAACTGCTTTGATCTTCACAACCAACCTCCGACCTAATGATGTAATCATGCCCATTTTACAAATGGGGAAACACAGAGCTGGACGCTACCCCTAAGAGAAGCCAGGAGGGAGGGAGCATGCTACGCCGTCTCTGTCGGTCGGATGCTAGGAAGGCAGGTGATGAGAGATCCGTGGTAACGGAGGGTGTCATGTGGCAGAACCCTGGGCTCTAGGTTTCTGTCACAGACAGGATGTGCAGGTGCCAACACCTTGGGCTGGGCAGTGTGTTTCTGGGAAACCTCCTACCTGTTCTTGGGGCAAACAGTCTCCTTAAGTTAAATACCTATGTGCCAAATTGTTGGGTGCAAAAATACCCACAGGGAAATTTCTAGCACACACGTCAAGCACCTGTTTTTAGAACTGCGTGATGACCGAGGATGTGAAGGTATAAATGAGGTTAAAGATTACCCAGCAACAAACTCCCATTTTGGGCTAAAGAGAAGTCAGTCAGAACTCACAGAACAGGATGGAACACACAGAACAGACCTGAGGTCCAGGACCTGGCTGGCGACAACACCAGGCTGGGTGGACTTTCCTTCGGGCAGGTCATAGAGAAAGAGCTTGCAGTCACAGACCACTGCGTAAGCCCGCTGCCATCCTTTCTTCACCCCAGTGGGCTTCGGGACCTACAGATAACAGTGAGCACGTTCCACTGGGCCAGAAAGGCCAGGCCCCGAGCCCCAGGAGCCGCCTTGCCAAGGGCTTCCGTCCAGCTGCTGCGTGCTAGCCTGCTTCTCCAGGGACAGCGCCCTCCCCCACCCATGACCCTCCCGGGCTGGCGGCCAGAGCCGGTCTGGGCCCAGGAAGACTCAGGGCATGACTGGGGAGGAGTCCACACAGGATAAAAGGTGATGCAGGGAACAAAATGGGCAACTCAGCGAACAGGTGTGTTCACACCACACACACAGCATCCTGGAATGCCATAGCTCTGAGGCTGTCCGGACACAGCGGTTTTAAGACAGCACTCGGCTCTGGAACCATTTCTAAGTGACCGAAAGGTGGGGATGAGGGGCTCCGGAGGACTGAGCATGTTTCTGGGCTCCTCAGAGCCCGGGGGGCCTGAATGCCTCACTGCCCAAGAGGGGAGGAATCCCAGGACCAGCACAAAGGTCACTTCACAAAGCAACCAGGGTCGGCTGTCAAGAGCAGTGTGGTGTGACTGTGGGTCATCACGACGGAGACAGGGAGAGCGGAGCTGATGCAAAGTGCCCTCCCCCGCCCGGGCCTTCACGCTCCTACCTTGACGTAGCCCTTGTAGGCCGTTCCTATGCCTCTCTGCACGTCCACGCCCAGAGGCCGCTTGGACTGCTCGGGGGGGATGGGGCACACCTGCGGAGCACTCTCTTTGCAGGACACGTGGCAAGCAAACGAGCACACTGGAAAAGGGAAGGAGCACCGCCATCAGAACCTGCTGCCTCCAGAGCAGAAGCCACGGGAGAGCGTACGCCACAGATGCGGCCACGCAGTAATCCCCACATCACGGGAACAGCCCCGACACCCAGGGGAGCGAACGGTTTCTGGAACAGTCCCCACAAAGCCCAGGGACTCTGGCACCGAGCGGCCCTCGAGCATGCTCGTGGGGGCCCTGACATGGGCGCGAGGGCTAGCATGGCGGCGTGGCCACAGGGCCGTGCGTGCTGCTCCCCCAGGAAGCCGGGCCTCATGCCCCATAGCTCCGTCCCCCCCTCGCCTGTGGAGGAAACCAGCTGCAGGCGTGTGACCAGGCAGTGGCTTCAGGGAGAGACGGGGCTCCTGGCAGCCGAGCAGAAGGCCTGCCAGGGAACAAGGAAAAGGCTTCTGCTGCCAGGTAGATGCACAAAGCTGCTTTTGCAGAGCAAGTCCCCCTGTGACCAGCTGCTGTCACTTGTCATCGCGTGTGGCGCCAGCTGGGGGCCCGTCTGTGAGACGGGCGATCGCACCGCACCGTCGTGTTGCCAGATGGGAGTGCGGCACAGGGCAGTGATGCGCCCAGAGATTACAAGGCCAACAATGACACCAGGAGAGACCAAACACCGGCGCTTACCCTCAGATGACGTGACGGGGAAGAGCGTAAGGTTCTGTTTGCTCTCTGCTCTTCCTGATTTTCCAGAAGGACCGTGGACATTTCATTTCATAGTAAACAAGAGCCCACGGATAACCTGGGCCACCCTGTGGCCCTGTGCTCTCCCGCGACTGCAAGGATTTGGGACTGTGTCTCCCAAAGCTCGACTGAGTGTTTATAAACCTAAAGAGGGAGACAATCTGCCCTCGGCTAGCTCACCAGGGGCTCTGTATTCCAGCCTCGTCTGACTTTAGAGTAACTGCCCCTCCTGCCCGGGTGTACCCCAGTCACACACACTGGCCCCCCGCGGCTTGCGGCCGCCACTCACCCTCACAGGCGTAGCCCTGCCGGATCAGCCCCACCATCAGGGACGTGCAGTGGCTGCACTGTGTGGGGCTGGAGAAGGACTTGATGCTGAACTGGTGAGCTTTTGGCTGGAGGAAGAACATCGAGAAGGTGAGACCCAGGCTCTGAGCAGGGACCATCAGTCTGCTTGTGATCAAACCGAGAGACTTGGGCATGACCCCGAGAAGCCGAGAATGCGCAGCTTCACTCTGAGGTCTATGTGCTCCTTACCGGTATTAACCAAGGAGTAGTGCTTACCACCCACCGACCAAACCTGAGCCAGAAAAGAAGTCAGCACATGCCTCCTCTGGTGAGCGGTCTTGCTCGCGGGAAGAGCAAGGGGGGCCGGGCAGGGACGCCATGCCAGCACAGCCCACACGCGCTCTGGGGCTGGCGCCTCGCCTCCTGGGGCTCTTGGGGGCTGGCTGGGGCCACGTTTTGGCGGGGGCTGCCACCCAGGGCTGCGCTTGCATGTGAGACCCAGAGCCACGCAAGAAACGAAGAGCAGCCCTGTTTCTAAGAGCAAGGGCCTGGACGGACCTGCCGCCCCTTGATGGGAGGGCGGGCGCATCACAACACGATCCGCAGTGGAATGAAGGGTGAGGCTGAACAGAGGAGCAAGCTGGAGACATGCAGCACGGCCAGTGTGTAAAGCTCCGACATAGCAAAAGAAAGGCTCGTTATTCAGGGACACAAATACTACGGGACCATGTGTAAGAAGCAAGGGAGTGGGCAACACAAAATCCAGAGGGCAGCCCCCCTGACCCCTGACTCTACGGGCATCGAAGCCCAAAGCCTAACAAAATCAAGTGTCTAAGTTGGCCCACTATCTATGGTTGGGGCCATGCCTCGTTAAAGGAGAACGAAGCATCTAAGTGCATCAAGCCGGAAACTTCGGGCCTCCTCATGAGAGCCCTGGGAGCTGGCGCGAGGCCCCCACATACACTTCTGGGGAGGACGAGGTACAGAAGTGCACGCTGGGGGCTGCTCCGCTTACTCTGGGGGAAACACCCTTCCACGGACCCCAGGGCTCTCCACCGCTCCAAGTGCAGACGGACAGACGGAAGTCAGCCGCGAGCAGCGTGGTGTGGACACGTGACCAGAGTGGTCACTGCTGGAGATGCAGGAGAGACCGAATTCCGAAATTTCCAATTAACATGTGACCATGTGTCATTCACTGGCTGAATTAAGGAGACACAGGGTCAGGGGCACCCGGGTGGCTCAGTCGTTAAGCATCTGCCTTCAGCTCAGGTCATGGTCCCGGGGTCCTGGGGTCGAGCCCCGCATCGGGCTCCCTGCTCAGCTGGGCCCTGCTTCTCCCTCTGTCCCTCCTCCTGCTTGTGCTCTCTCACATGCTCTCTCAAATGAATTCTTAAAAAAAAAAAGAAAGCGAGAGAGACAGGGTCCCGACGCTTCGTGGACCACACACTGCTCACGGCAAACCATTACTAGGAACCAGGGTCTCGCTGTGCATACAAAAATAGTAAGTCTTATTATTCAAAGTTCCCTCCTAAAACTGAGAAGGCAGCATGGGTGCAAAGCCAGGCCCCTACCTTTGGTCCGGCCAGAGCGAGGGGCTGCGTGGTGGGCAGTGGCACAGTGGGTGGCCTCTGCGTGGCCCGAGCCATGTCCTGGGGACAAGCAGGGACAGGTGAGCATCCTCTGAGCTCGATACTGCTCTTACATATCACACCCTGCTTGGGATTCGTTTCTCTCTAGAACTGATTAATAATGAACGGCATTTTTAATTTCCTACGTTGTTGAGACATCGGTCAGAGCAGCCCTCGCCCAGCTGATACATGACAATAACAACTGAGACACAAGTTGGGCTCGGCGGCTGGCAGAGGGTCCTGCTACAGGGTGCGAGGTAGGACCGGGGGCCACCTTGGCATGAGCGCACCCTCTGCTCATCAAGGGCATGGGCGGGGAGGGGACCCAAGGGCTCACAGGGGAGCAACAGGGCAACACTGCTTACTTCCTGCTGTTCTGTGCTTGCGGCCACAGAAACCGATGGGGACACCTCTGGCTTCGGAGCCTGGGTCTCTTGCTCCCCAGCTGAGCTGCTCTGTGAAAACAAAGGCGGAGACACAGTGGGAAGGAGAGAACTTCCACAGAAGTCAGACTCTGATTGCACAGTCTGTCCCACTAGGGACCCCGGGTCCCACCCAGGCCCGTACTCCCATCACGTCCCATCAGAGTCCACTTCACTCACAGCTGTGCTGCCTTCCCCCAGGGCCACTGCCCTTGGCATTCTAAGACCAGAGTGGTGACCGCGTGGTCTCACAAGCCAAAGGCCAGAGGCCACCTGCCTCACCCTCCACCCGCAGCCCTGACCACCCGTTCTCCCCGCTGATCCCCATTTAAGGGGCAGGAACCGGAAACCGCTGACCTACTGGTCTCGTTCAGAAGTGACTTTATCTATATCTGGTATTGTTAAGATAAAAGAGTCCAATACTTTTTAACCTCATTTCAGGGGCCAGGAAGAAATTCAGACATCAACGGGGGTCTGGGGCCTATGACCCAGAAGTAAGAATTTCCCTGAAAGTTCTACAACACAGGGAGGCAACGTTTTGTTCTAAGAACTCAAGATTCCCAAATTAATTTCACAATTTGAAACTGAAGCTAACACTTTGAATCTAATTTGAAGCTCATTTTAAAACCACTTGAAAAGGACCTCATTTTGAGTATTCCTGAAGTTATTTCCTCACGAAAGGCTGTGGTATTTGCACAGACGTACATAAACTACGTACTTATGCTCAGTAAGTGTTAGCACCGAGACGCAGAGGTAGCTGGAAGGTTCCTATAGGAGAAGCTGACAGCTTTATCTTATGTTCCACATTGAAACCCCAAGGAAGCAAACCAGAGAAACACTTTTTAAAAGTTGTAATTAATGAGGTTCCTATATAAGGAGCCGAATTCAGATGGGATGGTGGTGTGTGCATATGAACACGTACAACTGTGTACTGCGGTATATTTGAATCTGTTAACAAATTCACCAGGGAAACGCTACATCAATTAGCTAATCATCAAAGTACAAACTAAGCAAACTTCTCCCATAAATAAGGTGTATTACATGCATTAGAGTTCCATCTCTAGATAAATGAAAAGTAAAAGAATATCAGGTAACTGAATTTCAGCCATGGAACAGCCTGGCTAGTCTCCCTTGGTTGGGGAGGCCAAGGATGGGAATTAGGATGAGGAGCCGTCCCCATCTGAGGGCTGCTAGGGACACAGGGAGGGTGGCGGGGGGCCAGCATGGGCAGTGACTTACTTCTTCCTGAGAGGCTGGCAGAAGATGTGGGGACGAGGCAGAGTCCTTGATTGCGACAGATGGGAAGCATCACTTCCCGCCCAATGAACCCTTGCACAAAAATACACTGATTCCATCACCATGGCCAACACTGTAGTATTTAATGTGTTTGTACAGAGAAAGCACGGTAGAAGCTTCTAAAAGATGATCCTCAGGTCTGGAAACACCTCCTGACAAACCTAGACTCTGACCAAGGATTTTTTCTTTCCATCAGTGAATGTCCTTCCTCCTCAAACCACAGAGGGAAGGAGGGACAAAGACCAAACAGGGAAGACTGCAGGAGCGCTGGCTGCCGGATACGGCGGCCTCTGTCCAGGTGCAAGATGAGACCACCTCCCCAAGGACCGCTCCTCTTGGACTAATCCTGTGGAAATGCCTTGGCTCTCCGGGCCACCTCCACCCGGTAAGGACAGCCGCCCCCGGTCCACCAGGACGTGCCTGGTGCTCCCGCAGTGGGAGACACATGGGCCTTATGAGGCAGCAGGTTTCTGAAGGAACCAGCTTGTGAGGACCGGGTAAAGCTATCTGCTTCTTAAGGAAAACTGAGGACTTTAGGGAAAAGACAAGCATCACTAATTTGGTAAGAAACCATTTTGACAGGTGAATAGAAGCAGGTATGGGAGAGTGGTAGGAGCAATACAAACCTGCTTGATTTGGTAATAACTGATCCTAGGCAAGGACTGCTGCCGGACACCAGCCCGCAGCCATCCCAAAGTCCCAATGCTTATGAAGGGGTGGGGCGGGGTCTGGCGGACACCACCTCACTCTAATGATGAAGCCTGGCACCCCCAACCCTACACACATGGGAAATACCCAACATCTCCTGCGCAGAATCCATGCCAAAATGTTTAACCCGCTTCTAATCGCGAGGAACTATCAGACAAATCCAGAACATAGGACATTCTGCAAGATGGCTGGGACGGCCACTAGAGAAATACAAATGCTATAAAAGCTGGGGGTGGGGGAGGAGTGGAGGCGCTGTTCCAGATCCAAGACGGATGCGACCTATGGGCTCTGGCTGGATCCTGACCGGGGAGGCCAGCCAGCAGTAAAGGACTTTGCTGGGCAACAAGGGAAACGTAAACGTGTGCTCTGCTTGGGCTTCAGCGGGAAGCGTCCTCCGCACTGCAGTCCTGCGAGAACACCCTCGTCTCGGGAAACAGACCCTGGAGTGTGAGGGGACGTGTCTGTGCATACCGGTGGGATAGCTGTATGCTTACTGTACTTTCCTTCAAGTTTCCTGCAGGTTTATAATTTTCTAAATAAAAAGTTGGAGATCAACAAAAAAAATGACGCTTTATCAGAAATCCCATTAATGAGATCTGCTTTCATTATTTTTACTTTCTGGCTCGTTTCAGGGTTTGCTAGTAAGGGTCCACTCCTAGCATTTTGGAAAAAGAGGGAAAGGCTGTCCTGGGTACACCTGCAGCGCACGCACGGACGAAGCGGGGCTCACGCAGCACCAAAGCCACTTCCTCACGCGGCTCCGACCTACTCCCGGAGCGGAGGCTCGTCACACTGAGCGCCAACACCAGGCTGGCGACAGGGTACCCGGGGCTGGACTGCTCTCATAAACCACTTTCCTCCACCCGTCCTTAAGACCAAACTGTACAGCCATACAGGACTCGCTGAAAGGTTAATGAGGCTTATTCATTTGCTGCGGTATGAGAATTTGTGTTTTCAAAACTGCCACGGGGCACCTGGGTGGCTCAGTCGGTTAAGTGTCTGCCTTCGGCTTGGGTCATGATCTCAGAGTCCTGGGATCGAGCCCCGCATCTGCTCGGCGGGGAGTCTACTTCTCCCTCTGCCTCTGCCTGCCCCTCCCCCTGCTCGTGTGTGCTCTCTGACAAATAAATAAATTAAAAACAAAAGCTGCCTGAAATACTCAGCACACAGCCAGAGGCCAGCGTAGATTTCTCCCCCGAAGATGCTGAGCACTTTCTTAATCAACTTCCACTTAGTCCGAGGATGCTTCTCTGGGATCATTTTAAATACCTTAAATGTGTCTAACCTCATACACTGACCACCACGTAACGGGTCCGCATGAGGAAAATGCTGTTAGATGTTGTGGGTGGCCCCACATGGGATCAGAGCATGTCATACTAGCTCTAACTTACCATCAATTCATTTGTCACTTTTAAAAATAACCACTTACTCTGAACGTCAGATCGTGTGCAAGAGGGGCAGTGTTGAAGTACTCAAAAATAGAATCCTGAAAATCCGGAAGTTTAAGGCCTGTAAAAAAGAAAAGACCAGTCAAGGCAGGTTTAAAAGATGGTCTTTTGTGCTTAGATGAGAAGACGCAACGTCATCATGATGTCAATCCTCCACAAGCTGATAAATCTGATGCAATTCTAGTCACGTTTGTTTGGGAGAGTCACCAAGGAAGATGGTCTCAGAAATCCCTATAAAAGGGGGTTGAAAGAGGAGATCTACCAGATATTAAAACAGGCTCCCCAAAACCTTTTTAATCACAATCAAGCCAACAATGAACGAGGAGGAAAATCCAGAGACAGACTCTGGTGCTCAGGGGAGTCTCATGTGGGAAGGGTCACATGTGAAATCAGTACAGAGAGGAACTTTTCAATAACTGGTATCAGACAACTAGCACAGGAAAAAGATAAAACTAGATCCATTCCTCAAAATGTACATCAGAGTCAATTCCAACTGAATCAGTAATCCAAATTTAACAAATGAAACCATACCAGTATTAGAAAATATGAGTGAATTACTTGGAGTACCTGGGGATTTGAGAATATCTCCCTATGACTCGAGAAAAGAGAAGACTGATAAATTTATTGCACAAAAATTAAAAACAAAAAAGTACCAAAAAACATAAGCTTGGTAAAAAACAAAACATAAGCAAAGTAAAAAAGACAAAAGACAAACTGGGAAAAAAATCTGTAACTTCTATCACAAACAAAAGACTCTTATCCTCGATATACAAAAAGCTTCTAGAAGAAAAAACCTGACATACAAAAAGCTTCTAGAAGAAACTTAACCTGAATTTTAAAAAATGGGCAAAAGATACAAATACATAAAAATTACAGAATAAGAAATGCGAATAGCTCTTAAACATACAAAAAGGAGCTCCATTTTGCTCATGATAAGAGAAGCGCGAGTGAACTCTCTATTTCGATGCTACTTCTCGCCTATTCGGCATGCAGACCCACTCTGCAGGCGAGCCTCTGGGGCGGAGTCTGGCAACGGCTAGCATGAGTGGATGCATGCTTACTCTCTAACCGGCAACCCCGCTTCCAAAAATACCCCCACAGAAATAGGAACTGTTATATACACATGGTTTTTCTGTGCAGCCCAGCACCGTCCACACCCCCAGCAGAGTGCCCCAGCAGACCACCTCGCATGCCGTGGCCCTACCCACACGCAGAATGGAGCCCCAAGCAGGCTGCCTTGCATAACCAGGAGGATACGGGTGCATGCCTTTACACACATGTATTCGCTGTGTATTCCAAGATCTGATGGCAAGGATAAACCAAAGCCCGTGCGTACCTTTGGGGAAGGTATCTTTGAATGTGCCCTATTTCAGAATTTGGGCTTTGAAATTGTGTTAAGTGCTTTCTTTACGAAACTAAAAAAAATTAAATCTAAAACAAAACCATATCCTTAAAAGAAGTTTATATTTAAATAATTCAGAAGCTTGGGCGCCTGGGTGGCTCAGTTGGTTGAGCGACTGCCTT